GAAAGGAATGGAATTCTGTCCGAAGTATCTGTGGTTCTATCAGATGACTATTATGATAATACTCGTGGTCTCCTTGGTCAATATAATGATAAACAAGATGATGATCTCTTACCAAAGAGTAGTAGCAGTATTTTATCAACCAATTCTTCACTACAAGACATACATACAAATTTTGGACTAACATGTATGTTACTGCTGCTCTTATTACTCAATGTACTTTATATGTTTATACATAGGGATTATTGATGACCCCAGTGATAGTATCTTCACTTACAGTCAGTCTGGTAGCTGGAATACTTTTTATAAACCAGAATACACTCCATTGTTTGAAGCAAAGTTCAACGACCCAGAGCTAGAAGAAGAAGCATTAAAAGTAAGCTTAACTGTTGTTTTTGATGATACAATTATATGTTCATGTAGTTGTGTGGTGATGACAAGTTGTGCTTGTTTGATGTTGCTGCTACTGGTGACTTAAGTATTGGAGAGGCTACAAAAGAAACAGGAGAGGATTTAGATATTCTAGATGATATACTTCAACCAAGTAAAAGTAATATTTGTGAATAAATTTTAACCTTTCCTAGCTGTTTGTGATCCTCCATGTGCCAATGGAGCATGTGTTGGTAACAATAGTTGCTTCTGTTCTGAAGGATATCAAGGAATAGCTTGTGATCAATCAGGTAGTAGATCTAATTAAATAATACACATGTATTAATGACACATTGATTAAAAGTGGCATATATTCACATTAATATTATTTCTAGTACTTTATGAATGTGAAGAGAACATTTGTGTGAATGGAGGCACTTGTAGTTTGATTGCTGGAGACACTGTATGCAGTTGTTTAGATGGATATACAGGAATTAATTGTGGTACAGTTATAGCTATCAAAATCAGTGCGTTTTATTATTTTAATTTGTAGAGGATTTAATTTCAAGCCCAACATCATCTCCTTCTGTAACACCAGTAGCACCAACCTCATTGTCTGAGATTCTTGTGATAACCGTTGCTGTCGTCACTTTTATTATTGGAGTGATTGTTCTTATACTGGTGGCAATATTCTGCATACAAAGAATGAAAAGAGATCTAAAGAATCCTCCTCAGTCCCCACCAACAAAACCTTTACCTTTATATGATGATCCTGAAACAGAGCCTGAAGCATATGAATTGGATTGGCGTTCTGAAGGACAATGACATGAAAATTAATGGCTGCTATAATAATATTTTGCTATAAATGACAGTCTTGTCTTGTATGCATAGTGTAGTC